GAGATGAAGTACTGGTCGTCGTCGTGCTTGTCACACTGGCGGCTTGAGACGATGAGCTACCCGAAGAGGTGGTGGTCGATACCAACGCAGACGGTGAAGCCGCTGTAGAGGATGTCGACGCTGTCGAGCTTGTCGTGGTAGTGCTTGTCGTTGTTGTGCGTGTTGTATCAAAGACTTGGGATGATAGAGTGCTTGAAGTGATAATAGTCGATGACAAGCCAGAGGACGAGACTGAAGTAGATGAAGTACCCGCAGTAGAGCTGGCGGCGGTTGAGCTCGTCGTGGTCGTGCTGGTTATAGTCGTAGTAGCTGCAGCTGAGACCGTGGAGCTCAAAGACGATGAGGAGATCGCGGAAGTGGTTGAGGAAGCCAAAGTAGCACTTGATGATGAACTGGACTGAGTATTTGATGATGTACTGGGTGTCGGAGATTGCAGAGAGCTTGACGAGACAAAATTGGATGTCGTCGCCGAGGTTGAAGCCGGAGATGTAGCTTGAGAAGACGACGAGCTAGACGAACTCGACGAGCTAGACGATAGAGTTGTCGACAGCGCTGCCAAAGTCGATGTTGACGATGTAATCGAAGTCTGTGATGAAGACGAGCTCGGCGAGCTAGACGAGAGAGCAGTCGAGAGCGGACCAGTGCTTGCGGTCGACGTCGCACTTGTAGAGGTCTGGAAAGAGCTGGACTGAAGCGCCGTAGTGGAGATTCCGGTAGTTGAACTCGAAGTCATGGCAGACGAAGAGCTAACCGAGGACGTGGCCGATGTCACAGAGCCAGATTCCGTAGCAGGAAAGGATGTTGAAGGGCTGGTGGGGAGACTCGAAACGGAATTGGGGAGGGAGGAAGAAAACATACCTGAGTTAGTAGACGACGCGCTCGATCTTGAAGTCGTTGATGTAGAGCTGCGATAGTGTCAGTAACTGAGACTATTCCTTTGGAGGTGCTGTCAGACCTTGTGGTAGCTCCCAACACCAACTTGACGCCAACGTAGGCACTCCCAGCTACAAGATAGTCGTTCTCGCTTCGTGGTCGCTTGAGATCTGAGAGAATGTTAGAAGGCAGAAGAGGAATTTGACTATAAGATACTCACAGCATGCAGAGTCCCTGTCCCAAGCGGCGGCTCCGCAATCAGCTCTTGCGTCACACTGGCGCAGACATGCCTCAAAGCTGCGGATGTTGTTAACAAGAACGAGGTTTCCTGTGTAATCAGCAGCACAAGAAATGCTGTACTGAACCCCGTTGCCATCAGTGTATGTGGCACCGTTAGACTCTGGACAGATGGAGGGGAAGGCGGTAGAGGTAGTAGATGAAGTAGCAGTGAGCGAAGAGCTGGTGACAACAGTTGATGTGGTTGTGGTTGAAACCTGTAGGACGCTCGAAGTAGAGCTCGTCGTACTGCTGGTTGTGGTCGTAGTCGTGGTTGGCACGCCGTTGTTGGTCGAACTACTGGTACTGCTCGTGGTCGTCACACCGGCCAATACGCTGGAGGTAGAGCTGGTGGCGATGCTGGTGGCGATGCTGGAGGTAGAGCTGGAGGTAGAGCTGGTGACGATGCTGGAGCTTAGTATCGAAGTTGTTGTCGGGAGCGCAGTGGTCGTAGTCGTGGTTGGCACGCCGTTGTTGATCGAACTCGAACTACCGACACTGCTCGAGGTTGTCACACCTGCCAAGGAGCTGGAGGCAGAGCTGGAGGCAGAGCTGGTCGCGGAGCTGGTCGCGACGCTGGAGCTTGGTGTCGAAGTTGTTGTCGGGAGTACAGTGGTCGAAGCCGGGGCAACCAAGCTGCTACTAGCGCCTGCGACGACTTTGACAGCAACATAGGCAGTTCCAGTCTCAAGTCCTCCACCGTTGGCGACGTTAGGCTTGAGGTAACATGTCCTGACACGATCCCACACAGCAGCGCCACACACACTGCCTGCTTGGTCGCATTGCAACATGCAGCCTTCGAATGTCTCGATTTCTGGAACGACTCGTAACTCCCCACGATATTCAGCCGAGCAGTAAATGTTGTATAACTGCCCTGCGGAGTCGGTATACTGAGAATCGTCGAACGCTGGGCAAACTGAGGGCGTGGCAGCAGCAGAAGATTGCGAGGMTGAAGATAACGTCGGTGTCTGGTTGCATTAGCAGCGTCCCTACCCTTCAAAACACACATGGGAATGCTCACAGTGGAAGTCGTCGCAGTAGAAATTGCCGAGTCTGTCGAGATGCCTGCATCACTCGATGTGACGGGTACAGCAGGAATCGAGGATGTCTGGCGGACAAATCAATTTTCCGAGTGATGGTGTATATTTCGACATCAACTTACTATGCTTGACTCTGGCACGACAACTCTTCGCTGGATAGCCGCAAGCTTTGACGGGTCTCCACTCCCAGAGAATGCAACAGGAGACTGTTGAGGTCCAGCGCCCTTGTAAAGACTAAACAAAGCATTATTAGCGACTTCCTTCAAGGCTGACATGCAGAACTCACCAGTCCCCTGATCCGACGCCGTTGCTGCTGGATTCGAACCCAATCCAAGTGAAGCCCTGACACCCTGTTTCCAAGGCGTCACAGCCTTCAAAACAGTCTCTGTAAGAATCCACGGCCTCGCCTTGAGACACCAATACGCCAGTAGTATCGCTGCCACAGGACAGCACATAAGGCACACCACGAGGACTTGTGACAGTGGCTCCATCTCCTGCTGGGCAATCACCAGTGGGCACCACTGAAGGACCGGACGATGTTACGGCCGTGGTTGTTAATGCCTAGATGACTACAGTTAGCTTTTTTCCGGCTGCTGAAGGGAAAGTAAATTACCGAAGAGGAGGATACCGTAGGAAACAGTGACGGAGTACTGATCACAGACAATTCAGTCGAGGATGAGATTGACTCGGATACAGTGCCCGCAGTACTGGACGATGAGGCCGCTTGTAATGATGTGACCGAACCGTCTGCACTTGGAGAACTACTACCGGGAGGTATCAGACTACTCGAACGATCGAGCGAGCTTGAAGTCTGACCAGGAGAGCTTGTTATCGTACTAATCCCCGGGGTACTAGAGGGGATTTGCTGGTTACTTGTCGTTGAGAGCACCACGGAGCTGGCTGGACCACCAGAGGTGGTAAAAGGCGCCTGTGTGCTGGTGGAAGTCGGCGGGATAGTGTTGACGGGTTCAGCGTCTGGAGGTCGCTCTGCTGCGGCAACCCCTGCCTCCGCACGGGTACTGGTGACCTCGGTGAGGATTTCACAGTTACCAGCCGGATCACCAGTATTTCCAAAATAGTTAATGGCCACGCATCCAGGTTCGGCGTCGCACTGAGTCAAGCATGAATTGACATCAGTAACGGTTGCTCGTTTCCGAACGACACCAATGTTTCTGACTCCGCAAGTGACATTGAAGGCGTTGCCATATTGGGAGTCGCACAAGGTAGTATTACTGGCAGTTCCGCCGCAAGTGACTGCCGGACATGCTGGTAGAGATGCATAGGTGGGCGGTGCGTCAATCGTAGATGTTGCTGGAACTGAACTGCTGAGCCCGCCTTGAGAACTTGACTGCAATCCAGAGCTTGTCTGCAATCCAGAGCTTGTCTGTAGAGTCACCGACGTGGAGGCGGATGAGGTAGATGCGGGTGCTACAACAGAGCTCTGGGGGGTTGATACGCTTGTTCCCGTCGCTGAGACCGATGAGGAAGCTGGAGCAGAATAAGCTGAAGGTGTCTGGATGATGGCTGTGCCCGGCCTGGTGCCTGATGGAGGGATCGTCGTATAAGTAACAGGGCCCGAGATTGACGAAACACCCGTGTAAAGCTGTGTCGTGGTAATGTATGGAGGAGCTGAGTATCCGGGAGGTGGGGCGGAATACGCAGGTGGTGTCTGGATAATGACAGTGCCTGGTAGAGTACCCGACGGAGGGATCGTGGTATAAGTCACAGGACCCGAGATGGACGAAGCACCTGTATAAAGCTGAGTTGTGGTGATATACGGAGGAGCCGAGTATCCGGGTGGTACCGTGGCGCTGGGTGCTGCAGTAACGCTTGGAGGTGCACTGTAGGCAGGAGGCGTCTGAATGATTACTATGCCTGGGTTTGTGCCTGATGGGGGAATAGTGGTATATGTAATAGGCCCAGAGATCGAAGAAGCGCCTGTATAAAGCTGTGTTGTCGTCACATAGTTTGGAGCTGTGTAGCTGGCAGGCGTTTCAACGATCACGGTCCAAGCATCAGAGCCGCTCGCTTGGTAAGTCCTTGTGACGGGAATGGTAATCGAAGACTGCGTTCCTGTGTACAACTGCGTTGTCGTTGTGTAAGCAGGAGGCGTTTGAACGAGTACATATCCGGATCGAGTTCCCGATGGCCCAATTGTCGAAGTGATCGGCTCGGTGATTGGCGCAGTACCGGTGTAGTAAGACGTGATGGTGACATATCGAACGGGAATAACGATGATGTAGGTTCCTTGAGCATTGCCGCTCGGAAAGATTGTGCTGWTGGTAGAGGGTCCAGTCAGCACCGCCGTGCCGGTATATTCGGCGAAGGAGATGGTATATGGTGGGTTTTGAACGACTACAGTGTTTCCAATGGTAGTAGTTATTGGCTGGCTGATGGGCAGAGTGCCGGAGTAAAGACCGGTAACAGTAGTGAAGCCTGTTGGAGACGGCGTAATCGTGACCGGGAAAGAAGACACAGATGTGACCCCGTTTGATACGATTGTCGTCACCGCTGAAGAGATGGAGATGGCAGTGGTGCCCGGAATAACGTAGCCTGGACTTGGGATCTGGACAATGACCGTTCCGGGAGCAGTCCCGCTCGGTGCAATGGTAGTCGTGACTGGGGCTGTTAAAGAGCTTGTGCCGGAGTATGTTTGAGTAATGGTGACATAGCCAGGTCCTGGTACAGGCGAAATCAACGCCGTCTGGGAGCTGGTGCGCGAGGCAATGGTGTCGAAGCTTGCGGGATCTTAACATGGATTAGCGAAGCCATACAGGAGACTGCCTCCTGATCTACTGACTGGTTCCATAGTCAAGGGTGGATGGAAAGCCAACAGTGGCGCCGCAGCTACGGTGCACGACGACAGTCACAACACGAGCTGTCGGTATGGTTAGCAACGTGTCTTCCCAAGTCGACATCGATTCGCATCGTACCAGATTGTGCAGTGGCCAATGTTGACAATAAGCCCAGCACAACGCTGCTTGTTTTCCACGCCATGGCTGATGTTTGGAAGGAAAACGCGGCTGTCGTTGCAAGCAGAGTACATGCAAGAAAGATGTTTTGACGCGATTTCACTCATGTTATTGCCAAGTCGTTTATCAATGCTTCTGTTGAGATTGTTGCGCACCTACCTCCGTGCCGCGCGCGAGGAATGCTCATGGCGGTAAAGACCGCACCCTCGGTATTGGTTGAAGCATGCCATTGCAAGGTCGCCGTGAGTATGTCTGCCGCACAACATGTGCTTTCTCATGCTCCAGTATCATGATGGAGGTGGATTGTAGTCTTTCTATACCATTCTTGCAATCGTGCGGGCCAACACAGAAACTGCTGCACTCACTTACCTCTCCATCTACCTTGACGAGTGAATGTGCTGGCAAGGGGCAATTCTGCCAACCCGCCACATTCCAGGATCCACCATCATCTCTGGTATGCTTGCGAAGATTGATGTGGCCATGGCCGGCAAATCCCGTCGCGTGCCATTTCAAGATCAATCAGGGGGGGCATTCCGATGAATCTTGTCGATGGAAGCGGCCAGGCCCGTGTCAGGCAAGGTGAAAACGGAGGAAATGGAAGTGGACGTGAGGTGGAAGTGGAAGTGGAAGAAGGGACTTGGTCGGAATGAAGTCCGGACTCGCCGCTCTCGGCCATGCAAAATCCATTTGAGCCTCACTTGCCGCCTCACGTTACCCACCTCTTACATTGCGCTCCTCTTTGCACTTTCTTCTCGCTGAAAACGCCGGCTATGCTTGCAAGACCATGGACGGTTATCAGGACTTTCGAGAGCATAGTCCGGGCAGTGTGACAGTGTCGTAGGCAATTGACCAGAAAGGACAGGCTCCGGTGCAGCCAGACAGTAGGAATCCATTGAGCATGCAACCATTCTACATGTAAAGTACCACGTTCAACATGAATGACGGGACATACAAAGTGGGGAGCCTCGGATCACCTCTGCTAAGCATACAGCGGAAGCAGCCTCGTTGGTGGAACATCTCTCTTTAGGCGGTATACCTTGGCAATGGGTAAATGCGAGGACCAGAGTGGAGCCGATAACCCCTCCCGAGTCTCGACGATACATGTATGTACCAATGCGCCCCGGATACCTGCAGCAGACGAGGATTGAACCACCGGGGACTTCAAGATGTTGTTTTGTTCCATCGTAGGGTCGAGTCTTCTGCTCGCTACCACAACAGCTCATACCTTGCAACTTCGCGATGAATCTGGCTATTCTGGCTTTCTTTTGCCTCGAACAGACAGCGAGACAGCTTCACAATGGCCATATGGACCTTTCTCGACCAAAGGCCGAGATATCATCAATGCAAAGGGCGAGGCTGTGACTTGGGCGGGTGTGAATTGGCCAGGAAGCGGTACTACGTCTCGTGATCTTTGGCAGCTCTATAGATACTGATGATGAACAGGCGAAACGATGGTCCCCGAAGGTCTCGAATGGGAATCAGTGGAAGATATTGTCGCCCGTGTCGCTAGCGTTGGGTTCAACTTCATTCGTTTGTACGTTGAATTCTCGCAGGTTGCCAACTAAATTCCATCTGATGGCGAAGCAGAACTTATGCCATTGAAATGGTTGATCAGATGTATGCAAGAAACGGCTCTGACGTGCCTCTTGAGGTTGCCATGATCACTGGACTTGGCTACGAGAATGGGTGAGCCCTGATGTCYTTCACTGCCCGTTGATGCTTACGACTAACGACTGCTCTCCCAGAACTAAAGTCACACAAGAAATCATCTCCAAAAACCCTCAGTGGACGAAAGATACGACCAGGTTCGAAATCTGGGACCACATCGCAAATGTTGCCCACAATCAGAGCATCTACATTCACCCTGACGTCCACGTCGGCAAAGCTCAGTGGTGTTGCAACAACACTGGTGAGTCTGATGGACATTTGTCCTGACATATCTGCAACATCTCACACGAGAGTAGATGGCAACGCTTGGTTCGATGACTACAACTTCCCCGTGAGCAACTGGAAGCGTGGTCTTCAGTCCGTAGCCAACTGGGCGAAAGACCACCCAAACGTCGTGTCAATGGCCTTGCGAAACGAACTTCGGAGAGCCATCAACGAAACTGCTCCAACATCCACCCTCGGCTACAWCTGGCTTTCGCTGGTTGGTAACAACACCGCAGCCACCGATGCCATCTACCAAGTCAACCCCGACATCCTCGTCAGCTGGTCCGGCATGCAGTACGACCAAGACATGTCAGCTTTGTACGTTGCACCCAACCAACACTACCGCATCCATCTCTCGCTAACAAGTCCCACTACAGAACAACCGGTCTGAACTTGAACACAGCCCCATGCTACCAATGTGACGCAGTCCTTGACGGTCTCCGTCGTGAACCCATCATCTTCGACCTATCCGCCCACCCCTGGGCAGACAAAGTCATCTACGAAATGCACCTCTACTCCATGTCCGAGAACCTTGACACAGGCGWCTGCGACATCATCCGGGCGCAATTCTACGAGAACGGTTTCAACGCCATGGGAATCGACAAGCCCGCAGCCTGTAACGTGACCGGAAACTGCGTCGAAGCCGTTCGTCAGACTCCCATTATAATCTCCGAGTTTGGCTCTGCGCAGGACGAGACGCTATTGAATGATACTCTGCAGAGCTGTTTGAGAGATTTCACGACTGAGCATAATATCAGCTGGGCTATGTGGAGTCTGGCGGGCTCGTATAGAATTCGATCTGGTGGGCAGGGAGTTGGTGATACGTGGGCGTTGACCAATTATGAGTGGAATGGATGGAACTTTGAGAGGGGTATTGAGGAGTGGTGGAAGCCGTGGGTCAAGACTATGCTCGGGTGACCATTCACAAAGTATATTCATATGTATGTGTCTTTCCACAACTATGTAGTGAAGAATGCCACATTAAGTGGTCTGGTGCTGCCCCTTCCGCAGGCTCCAAGATAGAAGATAAAGAGAGACAGTCATGATCCCATTTTCCATCCATTATTGCAGTTTCGAACACGACATGCTCACGTTCAAGATACCACGCAGTGGCCCGGGAGCTTTTGAAGTCATTTCAGGACGATTTTTACTACCCCAACCCTTACCCTAACATTCATATCCACTATCTCGGAGACGGAGGCTGCTTCAGTCCAGTAACTAGCTTGAACGAGAATGAATACCTGAGAAATATCTAACGTAATGTGCATGCTGTCAATTGCTCACCGGATGGATTGACGAAGAAGACTGACACGCCCGTATGTGCCACGCTCAACATCCGACGGCATGACACTCGGCAAACTGATGCTGCTCGACAATCTCGCTCTTGTGCAATGATGATTCACAATGAAACGACTAGGAAAGTTGCAAAGGGCTTCGTAACAGAAATTTACAGGTGGTATCTTCGTTTTCATAAACTTTTCCCCCATCGCGGCATTCCTGATTTGCCGCCGTCATGCTCGTATCCAAGAGGATTTGCTCCCGAGTCCGCTTCGGACGTTCATCTAATGCCTTTAACGGCACTGTCTAGTGTGATAGAGAGTACGCGTGGACTCGAAGTTGAAATCGTAAACCATCACTCGCCTCTATCGTGGCCAGGTTCCAGAGAGCTCGGTCGAAAGTCTCATTCCTCGCGTTCCACCTCAAGGCGGAAGACTCCATTGCTCCACGTGTTACCGCCTCCCTTTAGTTCTCAATGCCGATGTGTACGTTCTTCTCGCCGGGAGGGATGACCTTGGCCTCTTTGCCGCCCTGGAGGTTGGGAAGCTCCTCAATCGCCTCCTCGATGATGCTCAATGCAGACTTGATCTCCTCATCGGTGATGACGAGTGGTGGTGCCATACGGATGATGTTTTRGTGTGTGGGTTTTGCCTACATCCCAAGTCAGCAAGGAAATTTCATAGCGAAGTGAGCAGTACATCAACGCCGCCAGAGGTGGCTTTGACGTGAGATATCTTTAGAGCACGACCTACCAGTAGACCCTTTGTCTTCATCAGCATGCACAAATCCCACGCACTGTGACCTCCAGTCTTCGACTCGTCAATCACAATGGCGTTGAGCAGACCCTTTCCACGAATAGTGGTGATCATTGGTCCCTTCTTGGCAATGGCAGCAAGACCATCTCTGAAGACGTGGCCCAATCGCTCAGCACGCTCAACAAGCTGCTCCTCTTCAACAATCTCGAGAGCCTTGATGGCAACAGCACTTCCAAGAGGATTGCCTCCGTATGTGCTGCCGTGCGTACCAGGCTCAATGGTGAGCATGACCTCCTTTGAGCCGAGGACACATGACACCGGGTACATGCCACCGCTGATGGCCTTGCCAAGAAGGACAAGATCGGGCTTGATCCCGCTCCACTCGTGGCAGAGCATCTTTCCTGTGCGTGCAATACCAGTCTGAATCTCGTYGCAGATGAGGAGCACATTGTGCTTTGTGCAGAGTTCGCGAACCTTGACCAAGTAGTCTTCATCTGGAACGACAATTCCAGCCTCTCCTTGGATGGGCTCCACAAGGAAAGCCGCGGTGTTCTTGCCATGTGCTTCAAGAACATCTTCCAGTGCCTTGACGTCGTTGAATGGGATCTTCTGACCGGTCACAGGGCATTCCGATCCAACACCTGGAAGGTATGGACCGTAGTTCTCCTTGCTTTCTGGGTCCGTAGACATGGTGATTGCAGCGAATGTGCGGCCGTGGAAGTTCTCCTGCACGCTGAAAACCAATGCCTTGTCGTGTGGAATTCCCTTGACTTTGTATCCCCACTTTCTCGCCAGCTTCACTGCCGTCTCCACGGCCTCGGCMCCGGTGTTCATGGGCAGCACCATGTCGAAGCCCATCATTGTGGTGATCTTCTCGGCGAATTTGGGAAAGACATCGTTGTAGAAGGCTCTGCTGGAGAGGGTCAGACGACTAGCCTGCTCAACAAGTGCCTGGATGAGTTTGGGGTGACAATGGCCCTGATTGACGGCCGAGTAGGCGGAGAGGAAGTCGAGATAGTGCTTGCCTTCAGGGTCCCAGACCGAGCAGCCAGAGGCTTTGGCGAAGACGATGGGGAGAGGGTGGTAGTTGTGGGCAGCGTATTCGGCTTCCGTGCTCATGGCCTGCTCGGAAGAGGCAGCATGGTAGTTGGAGGTCGCGGCCTGGCCTACAGGCGTGAAGGTGGTGGCCTTGGCATTGAGACTGTTGCCGTTGGTGCCATTGGTGTGCTGCTCGAGAATCGCCGAAGGAGCCATGTTGGTGAGTGATGCTGTCTAGGAGGCTGAGGAGGTGGTGAGTGAGGTGCTAGTCAGTGGTTGAGAAGAGTGGATTTTCAAAGAGAGAGATGTGGGTATGTAGGTGAGGAGGGGGAGTAAGGTATGCAGAAAAATGTCCACATCGGCGGATGCTCTTCACTTATTATGCTTTCCATTCCTCTTCCTGCTCTCGCCGCACGCCTAAGGTTCCATCCCCGGTACCCTGCGATCCATCGTGGCCCACTACCAATCCCTATAAGCAGGATGTACCGCGGAGGGTATCGCTATAGGCAGGATGCGCCTGTACCTGCGCTTAGGGGAGTAGTTGGGTAATTTGGTTATCATGTGAGCGGCTAACAGCGGGCGTGATAATTGCTCGTGCCTCATTCGTTTGTCCAGACTACCCCACGTTGAGGGCCGACAGATAAGACCGATACCGGCCGGCCGGCGATGGAGAAGGTGGGATCTCCGCTGCCAAGCGAAGCAAGAGGCAAGTGAAGCACAGACAGCTGAGATGATCTCCACCTTGGCGAACGAGAAGATGCCAACGACAAGAGATGGAGATGGAGATGGAGGGGCGCGGAAACGGTCACGCAAGGCCCACACGAAAAGTCGGCGGGGCTGTAACAATTGCAAACTTCGCAAAGGTGGGCACCCTCAGCACGGCCAGGCGGTGGTGAGGTTTGCTTACGCCATGTGAACACAGTCAAGTGTGACGAGACGAGGCCAAACTGTGAAAAGTGTAGTTCATATGGCGTCTTCTGTGACTATGAGACGCACTCATCCGAGCTGCACTTCTCGGGCACGGCATCGTTCCAGCTTGAGGTGCAGAAGCCACAGCAGACCGAATCGCCACCTGCATTCAATGCTGAAGAACTCATCGATTCCATGATGGACGCTCCCCTTGCCCTCTTCGTGGAGGGTGACACCCCTGACGTCTGCTATCTTGACAAGGCCCATCTCTCTCTCCTTCGCAAGTTCCACGATCGCTCGGTCTTGACCATCGGGACTCCAAACTCCATACACGTATACCAAAGGGTCCTGACCCAAATGGCTTCGAAACATTCCTTTGTCTTGCATGCGGTTCTGCGCTTCACCCTTTTACACGATCGATATCTTTATGATCCTCTTGGGACGAGTCCATCTGCCGCCGAAGCCTTTCATGGCTACCACGCCGCAGCACTGTTCAGCCAAGTACTTTCGGAGAGCTCCCACTCCAACGATGTGAAGGATGCTCTTTGGGGGACGTCTGCTCTGCTCGGCGCGGGTAGCTTTGCGGCATTCGAAGGAATCTCTGCCGCGGAAGCATGGCCACTGAAGCCCCCGAGCGTCTCGGACCTGGACTGGCTCAAGATGAGCGAGGGCAAGAATGCAGTCTGGCGATTGGCCAATCCAACAAGGGATGACAGTCAATTTCGAGACGTGATTGAGGCAGAGTTGCGCAAGCAGAATAGTATCCCTCTCCAGTGTGTAGGCCCAGCAGTGGATGGATTTCGTGCCCATTGTGCTCATTTGATGGAAGCCGGTGAGGACAGCCCATATTTCCAGGCAGCCTCAATCCTCGAGCGACTAGCGCCTATGCAGTGCTCGCATGAGACAGCAATCTGGTTTCTCTCCTTCGTCGGTCATATGGATCCCGCGTACATGCAGCTTGTGGCGGCCAAAGACTCAACGGCGTTGGTGTTGTTGGCGTGGTGGTTTGCAAAGCTTCTGGAGTACAATGTCTGGTGGGTCAGTCGGCGATGTCGGTTTGAGTGTCAAGCGATCTGCGTCTTTCTGAACGAGAAGTTGCCGCAAGAAGATGTCATCAGGGATCTGCTGGAATTCCCGCGAAGCGTGTCTCACGGCGCTTCAAGAAAACCAGTGGCAAACGTTGGCTGACAAGAACGCTTCTCCCGCGAGAAATCTCAGTCCTCAACATGCGCATTGTGCGGCGCTTCACCACCGCACAAGACTCACATCACAGCACCCACGAGTCCAGATTGAGGCAGTGGCTTGACGTCTGCTTATGCTGTGGAGTTTTGAACAAAACATTTGACGGCGAAAGAAGAAGGCACGACGCGAAGCTGCCGCCTGAAATTCTCGTCCCTACTTCAGCTCGTTCCGAACACTTCATCATCACCTTGACACCACACAATTTCAGCCCACACGATCGGAAGTATGGACGAGGCCGGAACCACCGCGACGTCTGCCCTGAAAGAGAGCGCCTTCTCCATGATGATGAGAGAGGCCAGAGCCAGAAAGTTGCAGGAAGTATGTGGCGACCTACCTCACCATTTGCAAGACATGTGAGCTAACTATTCAAGGCGGATGAAGACGTYAAAGTTCCGGCCGAGTTCACCGCCATGGACAACGTCTTCGGCATCGCGGAGCTTGCGGAGAAGATCTTCCTCGAATGCAGAATCCAGGATCTCCTGGTCAGCTACCAACGGGTCAACAAGCAGTGGCACGACATCATCACATCTTCCAAAAGACTTCAGCAAGCATTGTTCTTCGAATCTGTCAGCGGCCACTATGTCGATAGCTTTGGCGATCACTTTGCAAACTGGTGGCAGTATTACGATGATGAAGAGAACGATGGAGACGAGGGGAAGCTTGCTGAGGCACAGCGCCGTAAGGATGAGGGCAAGCGCGTCCTCGTTTTCAGGAACCCTTTCTTCGAGAAGTTGCACCACAAGACTCGGACAGAGAAGTACAGGGCTCCATCTGCATACGTTGCTGCCGCCAACGAGGACTACAACCGGCGGCGCCAGGATATGGACAGCCGAAATGCAAGCTGGCGACGAATGCTGGTCTCCCAACCACCTATAATCAAACGTGATTTCACACGCTTCGATTATCCGGGCCTGATGCCGATGACAAAGGAATCTAGCAGCCCTTTGCTGCTTCAAGATACACTCAACGACGACGACAGGTGTGCCACCCGACCTGATAACGTATTCGATAAGATGGTTCCGGTAGTCTTTGCCCAAGACGTCAAGCGGATCAATTACGAGAAGGGGGAGTACGACTTTGAGGTGTGTCAGCACGATATGGCTTGGGACATTAAAAACGCCCTAGGATATTACTCTTGAGAACCGGATGTGATGAAGTCCACACCGGGCTTGCTATCGAAAGTAGAACATGGCTCGCTGCTATGATCGCTACAGAGCTTTGCAGGATAGCTTTATCTACGCATGGCTGAAGAGAAGATGGTGCTGGCTCGAAGTAGCTATTGAGAAGCTGACGAGTTGTTCTTCCACCATCTCTACAATCGATCGCATTTTGTGCGAGCTTTGCTCTTCCAGCATCCTTGTCCTGCTGCTACCCGCTGTATCTTCGTTTGCATTACGACACTTGCATTGACATGTGTTGGAACACAATGCCAGTCTACGTAAAAGCGTGATCTCAGCCAGACGAATCTGGGCCAACGTGCAATAAGACTTTGGTGGAGCGGTTTGAATTGCCTCCCAGCTATGCATCGCGGAGATTCTCATGGATGAAAGCTGTTGGGCTACACAACCATCAAATCCTGCTTCTTGCGATTTCCCCCCTGGCTCACCAGCAACTCACTCCTATCCACGCCCAAACCCCTGCCTCGTGGTCGAGAACGTAGTATCCCAGCATCCCTCAGGCAAGTTGACCTCGCTCCTCCTCATAAACAGCGTAGTAGTACTCTCCATGTCATCGTCCGTCAGGATCGGCGTCTCACAAACTGTACACTGATGATTAGCAACACTTCACACACATCTTCTTAAGACAGCACCCACAGTAAAAAATATACTGATAGTCCCAAGTATAATAATTCAAACGATTATCCGCAATGCTAATTTGCTGCCAATGAGGAATATCATCATAGGTCATGTTCGTCCTCACAAAGACCTGCGAAGTAGGTACACCACCTGCGCTGGTTCTGTAGACGTCCATTATAGCATCTGGACCGATTTGAGGAGCATGTATGGAGGCATTGTTGATATTTTGGACATCGTGGATTGAAAAGTGCGATGCGAAACCGGAGAAACCGACGGTTGAGACTTTGTAGGTGAAGTCGTCGATTTTAGTGGTGTACAGGTAATTGCCAGCTCTGTTGTTGGCGACCAGATTGATGGGCTGGGAGTTTTCTGCGAAGATCAGAGGGGTGAAAATGCTGATAATGGCTAAAAGGAGGGTGAGCATGATGGGACTTGGTGGTGAGGCTATGAAAGAAGCGACGGTTATAGTGAGGAACATGCGCTTTTATGGGATCGCTTCGTTGGGTGCAGCTTGTAAATCTATTTGCATCCGTTCAGCTCCTCCACCGGTCCCGGGCCCAGAAGGAATGCGTGACCCACTTTGTATGCWCAATGTGTATGCATGTGTATGCATGCTGTGGAACAGATGTGTTGGCAATCAGCGTATAGCATTCAGTGATTGCGAGGAAATGAGAGAAGTGACTGCTATTGGACATTCCAAACCCAGGTCGAGCTCAATGCAGATTCCTGCTGTAGTTCATCTGATCATTGTAACATTTTGACGATTCAGCTCCAGCCCCATTGACGCCATCGCTAATGCTCGATTCTAGCTCACAGGTCGAGCACGCTCGGTGTACTCTTGACTGTGGGTATGTTGCAGTCCATTGACTGGCTGCGAAATGAGCCAGTGTCTGCCTTCTCAACTAAAGCCTTACGAGAGGGGTGTCTCTCCAGCTTCCTCCTTTTAGCATGTTTCGACTGCCGCCGTTTTGCATTTTCCCATCATTCTCCCGCAAGGCATGCAATCTATCGGCCTGGAAAGCCGCCAGGAGGAGGAGCAAACCCACGAGGAGGTCCAGGTGGGAAGCCTGGAGGTGCACCAGGTCCACCTCTGCCGAAGCCGGGAGGCATGCCAGCGAATCCCGGACCGCCCACACCTGCTGCTGGACCTTGTAATCCAATGCCCATCCCTCTACCCATCGGCTTAGCCATTCCCGGTCCACTTGCGACGGTCGCTGCGACACCAGCTCCAGGAGTGCTCTGTCCGAGACGAGCAGCCGGATCCGCAGGCGGCGGGCTCTCAACAGATGCCGAAACAATCGTGGCGCCTCGGACGATGGCGAGGCCGAGCGAACGCTTCTCCTCGGTCTCGACGTTCTTCCTCTTGACTTTCCTGAACTCTTCACAATCCGCGAGTACGAGGTTCATGTGCTGGGTTTCGTTAGCAAAGCATATGGAGTAACAGAGGAGAGGACCGACCTTGTCAAAGGCGAGCATCTRTCCCACCAGCTGCCGTCCATCGGTGAGGGTTGCACGCATCCGGTAGTTGATCTATACTTCTGTAAGTGGTTGGCGCATGAGCGCGCAATCGTTGCTTGTACTCACGAATCCTTGCTATGTCTCATGTCAGCTGATATTCTCTGTCAACGCAAGTCTGACTGCGGTGGGAAGATGTCCAAGACTTACCATCTTTCCCTGCTTCTGCAATGCGGCCATCTTGTCGCCTGTGCGCGCCTGAGCACGACTTGGTGTTGCTGAGATTACTGTTCGCCCGTGCTGTCAGATATTGGAGTTGCTCTGAGCAATGCTAGTGAGGTAATGTCGCGGATTGAGAGGTCAAGGTGGAGGTGAAGTGGAGTGGTGTCGGCGCTGCGCTCTTGCTGTTGCTATCGAGAGGAAAGTCTTCTCGGATAGACGGAGCGAAGCGTCGCACTAGCGTCCGCACACCTCCATTTCGAATCTTGCACGAACTTTGAACTTCTTCGCGCCCATACTAATCCCACCACCCAGGACCGGATATCACAACACAATGGCCAAGGGAGAATCATCCACCCAGCAGGTGAGTCGCCAAAATCCCAGCCATCATGTCCAGCACTCAACTTCGATCGAAGTGCCTCGATGCGTCCATTGTGCCTCAGAAACTAATCCGATCTCCTCCAGGCTGATGGCTCTGCCGTCAAGACCCAGGGCGCTGCCGACAAGGCCGCCAACCCGATGCGCGAGCTTCGCATCCAGAAGCTCGTTCTGAACATCTCCGTCGGCGAGTCTGGTGACAGACTTACCCGTGCCGCCAAGGTGCTGGAACAGCTGTCCGGTCAAACTCCCGTCTACTCCAAGGCCCGCTACACCGTCCGTACTTTCGGTATCCGTCGTAACGAGAAGATCGCTGTCCACGTCACCGTCCGTGGCCCCAAGGCCGAGGAGATTCTCGAGCGTGGCCTCAAGGTCAAGGAGTACGAGCTCCGCAAGCGCAACTTCTCTGAGACCGGCAACTTCGGTTTCGGTATCTCCGAGCACATCGATCTGGGAATCAAGTACGACCCAGGTATTGGTATTTACGGCATGGAMTTCTACTGCTGCATGTAAGTGGCACTGCACGGAACAGCACAGCACTTCTTCTTGGTGAAAACCAAGAAGATGTTTGCCAGCTGGATGCATAAAACTCAAATGTCTGACTTTCTCCCTCACAGGACCCGTCCAGGTGAGCGTGTTGCCAAGCGTCGCCGTGCGAAGGCTCGTGTCGGTGCTTCCCACCGCATCAACCAGCAGGAGACCATCAAGTGGTACAAGAACCGATTCGAGGGCATCGTTCGGTAAACATTTTCAACGAAAGTTGAGGTGTACTTCTTTGTCCCACGAATGGAATGAAAAGCGAGGCATGGGTTCGGCGCAAAAGAGCACGGCTTGGAGGGGTGAAGCGCAGATAGCGACACATACAACGGCCTATCGGAGCTTCTTGACGCATGAGCAAGATCTACCTACAATGGAGGCTTCACCTTAGATGTGACTTGCCGCTTAACCATTCTGWTCACTGTCTCATTGCTTTCATTTCCACTTTCTTCCAATCCTACATGCGTGCATATTCTGGTGCTAGCGCATGTCATCGGTCAAGCCTCGCGGCTTGCACAGCACAACTGCGAGAGCGACCACACAGACTGCCTTGAGCTCCAGAAAGGGGTGAGTAAGTGAAGAAAAGCATTGATGGCATACAAAGCGTTCGACCTGTTTCGTGGCCATTCTCCATCTCTCACATCTTGCGGCAACTCTTTTCCTCCAGCTTCTTCTCCTAACTCCCCTCCATGACTATATAATACCCAGCTCCGATTAACCAGCCCCACAGCAGCGCCGCAGTAACGCTGAAAGCCCCAAAGTCAAGGAGCGTAGCCATGATCGTCGCAAAACACGAGCTTCCATTGGCAGCCATAAACAGCATCGCAAAAGATGTCCGTGAGCGAGGTTCGCGATACCTTGCAGTCAGGAAAGATGTCGCTCCTAAGGAGGAACGATATTGCGGCAGAAACGATTCCAGTAATCGGCCATCCAGTCAATCTTGACACATTATCGTTGCCGCCATCTAGATCGAACAGCCTGACGGTGCCTGTGTATATGCAGCAACCTAGGATCACGGCAATAAGGCCAGTCGATTGTAAGGAACGATATGAGAACTTGCTGCGGCTAAGCGCCATGGTGTATCAAGATCTGTAAGTTTCGATCAAATCAGACGTTGCTGTGACATTTCTGGCATCTGGAGATTAAGGTACATACCACTCGGGTGATGCGCAGTTGCCTTTATACCACTATGATACCGTCTCGTCCGTATCGATCCCCTTTTCCTACAACTCGTAGCAGCCGATATTCCTAAACACACAACTTGACCCTATTCGCCCAGCCGGAAAAGAGGCACGTTCAAGACAAAGGAATGCTTGTAAGGCGTGGAGAAGCGAGAGGACGTCCAGGCACAGCCCGCCTTACCTTGGCAGTACGTAGATCGACATGAGAAATCTCCGTGTTGGACTCTCTAGCGTCTCGAAATAGCCTCCCATTGGGTGCGACGCGCGTGGCAGAAACACGCTCCCTCCTCGAAGGATTTCCTGCTGTCTTGTTTTTCGTGCTTCGCCGCCTAAAGGAGCAGATCATGCGCCAGGCAGTGCAAGAAATAGGATTCTACAAAAAAGAGCAAGTCGCCCGCGCCACGTTTCCGTTTCTTTGTCTGCTTGAACTTGAACCTCTCCCTCTCTATACCTCACCTCACCTAACTCACCTCAACTCGCACAGCAGAATCTCATCTCAGGAAATCAGCAAACTTTCAAGACAAAATGGGTGGAATCGAAGAACACACCAGCCAGACCGTCGGCGTCACAACGCAGCCAACGGAACAGCCAGTCCCCCACACCGAGCCAGCGTCAACTGTCGAACCGGCACGCCACGTCGAGCCAGTTCATCATGCCGAGCCAATTCAGCATGTCGAGCCCGTTTCGCAACAACCTCCTGCGTACCACGAGGCCACCAACAAGAACCAAATGGCCGCCAACTACCCGCCAGCTCAAAACGTCTACGGACAAGGCCACATGGTCACTCCACTCGAGCGTCTAGGCGAAGAGGCCGCATGGGTCGACTGTCCCTACTGCAAGAGAATCACCCAAACTCGCGTCGGCCAGGAACACTCCACCATGACTGTGTATGCCTCCCTCATCCTGATGACGTTCGACGCCACTAACATTTGTAAATAGACTGGCGGGTTTCCTCCTCGGGTGCCTCTGCATCTGTCTGGCCTGCCTTCCCTGCATCATGCATTCTTGCGCGGATGTGGATCAGTACTGCTCCAACTGCAACAAGAAGCTCACGCATATGCCATATGATAAACCCGTTCGCGTCGTCGCTGTGAGGGAGTCTGAGATGCAGGTCAGCAAGTATCCGGCATCTCAGCAAGTCCCGAGCGAGCAGCCTGGTCAGGTCCACAAATGAGCTGGACGATGCGGAGATGGAGACGGAGATGGTGTTTGGCGTTTATTGGTGGTCRTGATCTCTGGGGAATGAATCTTAGATGATTGTGATCTTTGCGATCCTCTATCTCTTTATACCGCGAATGGAAGACACAGGCTTCCTCGTCCGCGTGCTTGATCGCGAGTAGATACCCCCTTAACGCGATACAAAAACTTCATCGCCACATTCTCTCTCACCTCACGCTCTCTCCACTTTTCAACGGACCACAGTAGCGCAGCTCATGGCATGAAGTCAGAAACAACGTGAGATGGAAGGGGTGTCTACTCACCTTGATGAACAACTCTTCTCTAATTGGCTGCGGAGCACGGAAGCTAACGGCTGCTCACATTTGAGACTCGGTCTACTTTTCGTGCGGTCTACTTTTCGTGGGGAAGCCTAGTTATCTTCTTTGACTTCACATCATCACATCATCCTCAACACGCGTCTTTTCTTTCGATCTCCTGAACAGAGATCATGCGTACGATCGGTCTCTGTGATAGTCGACATTACTGCGCGTGCTTCACTCTTCACTCATGTCCCGATGAGCAACGAATCGCACCCATAATTAAGCGCCGGCGATGGCGCTTATCTGACAGCGTTTTCGATGAACATGCAGGATACCACCAAGCTCAGTCAATTGGCGTCCTCGGCAAAGCTATTGCAGACGTTGAACTGTAGATTCACCACACGGCAGCAGCAGAATCTATCGTTTCTGGACCTTGTCGATAATGTTCTCATTGAAGACGGCTCCGCTCTGTGGTGTAGTTTGTATTGATACACACGAACAGTTCCATTCCAATGTTCATTTCCTTCCTAAGCTGACAGTCTATTTCCCGCTGCATTTTAAAACGTCCGCCCTTTAATTTCTCAACTCCACATTCCATTCGTACATCATGTCTCAAACTCGTCATGTTTCGTCCACTCAATCAATGCTCAGTACCGCAAATCTTGCAGCCCTCGAGAGGGCTCAGGACTCCATCCTAGCAATAGCCGTGATGGCAGGAACATTCGCGGACATTGGTGTGCGCCTAAAGAGTACTTGAGGCACCATATCTGCGACCAGCGTAGGCACAGCAATATTAGTAGATGGGCGTGGAGCCCGCACCCGAAACATAGACGCTGCCGTCGTCACCGTACTCCTTTCGATCACTGGRGCAGAACCGATCTGCGCAGTCGGTGATGACCACGTCTTGAGCAATCTCCTCGTGCGTGAGTGGGCGTGTGATGTTGAACGCGTCATCTCGGACGACGACCCGGTTGTGAATCAACTCTAGTCGCTCGCGTCGGCGAAGTCTCTGACTACCGCTCGGAGGATCATTGGGCTTCTGAGCTTTGGGCGGGCGAGGTCCATCGTCGTCACTGTCCGAGTCAGGAGCAGGCCTCTTGCCCCCGCGTGCATTGGCTGCATCGATCATCGCCTTTGTGGGGCTTCCGGCGTACATTCCAAAATTCTTCTTGTTATCCTTATGATCATTGTACCACGGATCGCTCGTGAGAAGAGCGAATCCAGGATCTTCGGGAAGAATGTTTTTGGGCCAGCAGGGATTCCGTTGCAGATACCAGTCGTTCTCCTTCGACGGATACTCGTTGTCCTTTGGATTCTTAAAGGCGAGCTCGAATACCGCGCGGGTATATGTGACCTTGTCGTAATGGTGGGTTACCGTGGCACCTTTGTCGTCCACTCTTGGTTTCAATCCCTTCATGTCGACCAGGTCTGCATTGAGCGGCTTCTGGCTATATTCCGCATCACTCAGCTCCCAGTCCTTTCCGTTCTCGCCCATCTTACGAGCTGGATTCCGCTGGTGGTTGTTCTTCCCGCCGTCGTATTTGCTGCAGAATGATCTCCACAAGCTTCCTGCGCCCCCGTTCTCCCCGCTCGGTATCCACCGAATCCTTTGACCCCATTCTGGATCATTCAATTTACCTTCAGGTATGAAGTATGCGGGAGGCCATTCGTCCTAAATCAACGTCAGCCGCCGTGCTCGAAAGAAGGGGTACGGCGAGACTCACGGCTTCGCATCGCAATTTCTCTCCCTTCTTCGCAGTGGGCGTGTCTTTCTTGAACACGTACTCCTCTGCTATGTAATCTTTCCAGACATCAACGTTATGCTGATTGTAGTAATCGTCCGTAGCTGTTGCGTCGACTCTCATATTCMCGTCTCCGCAGGAAAGCTGATTTTTGCCGCCGTTTTTCCAGGCAGAGTAGTAGTGAGCGCAGGCTTGGGTATGAGAAGCAAAGCCACAAGTTTTTGTGATGACCGTCGTGACTGAGACAGATTTCTCGACAACTGTTACCGTGGGCTTGTCACAATCATCTTCTACGAGTGTACACCGTCAGTGAAACTCATGAGGTGGCTCGTATCTCAACTTACTCTTGCCGCTCCCCGGAGCTCTTTTTCCGTTCTTGGTACACGCGGACGCGGAGCTCGTAGGTGTTGATTTGGCAGTTGGGCTCGAGGACAGCTTGCTCGTATTTCTGTCCGTTGGTTTTTCAGATGACTTGCCCGTCGGCTTGGGATTGGCATCGTGGGTGTTGGTAACACCAGGTTTACTACCACTTGGCTTCTTCTTGCCACCGCCGAGGTCTCCCATGAATTCAAGCATGTCCTCAATCGAGCCCTTACCTTTAGGCCAGGGTGGTGGAAATGCTCTCGCAGCCTTTGCCCACAGACCGGCCGGACCAATGGCACCGGACACCATGCTGAATGCACTGAAGACGGCTTGGCCTTCTTGTGGAGTGTACTTATCGCCGCACACTTTGTCCATACCCCATGTGGAGCTATTCATTGCAGCCCCTGCTGGGCTTTCGAGCCAGGTCCTAAGCCCATCGGCAGCACCTTCATCTGTATCAAAGGTATAGGCTGCTACCTGAGCCGCCTGGTATGCCACACCAAAAGAAGCGGCAAGTGCAGTGCCAACTCCTGGAATTGCTTCGAGACCAGTTACGGCTACCAGCTGTATTGCAGTAAACCAAGTTTTGCATGCGACCTTGATGTTTGTCAGCCACGATGGTCATCATTCCGTGCAAGCGAGGCTACAGATGCCTCGAGGCATCTTGCTTTTTGGATTCATACCTCTGCTATTGCTGGCACTATCTGAGTGACGAACTTGTTGGCAACCTTGGCCAGGATCGGGTCATTGCACAAGCAGTTTGCAGCCGCTATCTGCTTCGCGATTCCTTCTTCAAAAGACATTAGTTTGAGTGGCACCACAACTGGACGCGAAAACTCGATATCGCTTACCGTTGCCATAATCAATCCATGTAGGTTCCCCAAACTTCATACATGCCGTGTTTGGCATCTGTGTGTCGGACTTGTCGCTTTGCAATTTACAAACTTTACGACACTCTTCGGCGCCGAAGTCTCTATCAACGGGCTTCCAGTGCTTGATACCGTTGACATCCATTGTMATCTGCTGGTATATGTGACAGTCGACAATCTGGCCGCCTGTGCGATCCACATTCTGTCCGAGGTTGGCGGGGATAGGCTGAGCCCCCGATGGCTGGGCTGGCTGAACGACGGGTGTGTCAACCGGCCGAGATGGTCCAGCTGTGTTGTATGTGCAACTTGGCCCAGTTTTGGTATGATCGATGTGTCTGCCATCTCCAAGATTCTCCGTACAGTAAGAAGCAGGACCTATGGTAGGTAGATTGGAAAGGACTCCCACAAAGGAGGCCTGACGCTGGGCGAGAGAAATGGTGGCGATTTCTGATTCCATCGGAATCATTGGTAAGACCTTCGAAGCGGCGAGAGAGATGGCCAAACATAGTATCAAGGAGACTGCCATTGCGCTGCAAGGAGCAGATTTATAATCACGGGCCAGCCGTGGTAAGGGGTGGTGTAAGATACGCGGTACTGAATGAAGTGAATTGACGAAGTGAATAATAGATGAAGTGAGTGGATCTTTGCATGGACTACCTGCAATAGCAGCGGGGGTGCTTTATGTCGATAGACTGTGCCTCTCCGACGCAGTGGATCCATCGCGCGCCAGCAGGCAGCACATGAACACTTTGTTGGATTTTGATCTTAAGCGCTGTTGACAACCAATCCGATACTGGAAATATTGCCGGAGAATCATAACATCTCGCGATGTGCAGTGTCATCGTCCTCTAGTACCCGAAAATACATGTCTGCGCCGCACTGCTGCAGTAGTTTTGAACTTTCTGGTCGTGCTCGGCGTCAACCCAAATCGATGGCCGCGGACAGATTTTCGCGCATGTAAAAGCCATGCCATGAGCAACAATCCGTGATTGAACCTTTCTGGGGAGAATTGTTGGGGGGAGTTTGCCAGGAAGAAGGCGCAGTTCTGCTCGCGTGTGTTKGGTCGGGCATCTGTGCACATGCATTGGTTCGCTTTTGGGAGCAGAGGCAACATCACTGGCATGGGCCGCATGCGGCAAGCGGGACGCGCTTCGAGGAACGCAACAAGACGAGCAGTCGATGAGTCGCTCGAATGCCAAGGGTGCTTGATTGAGGCAACGACAGWAGTTGTGTACCCAATCTGTCAAAGATCGGCTTCGTAGTGAAAGGGATGCGCCAGCTGCCTCGCCATCACCTCACAGATGCGCGGTTCATGAAACATGCCTCCAAAGCTTGTTCGAAGTGTGTCCGGAAGTAGCACATCACCGCAACGCGCATGCGTTATGCGTTATGCTCACTGCGCACCAATGTCGGACGGTCCCTGGACCCTCACCGGGTATGTTTACTGTTGGCGAGTTCCAAGCGCCGCCAGACTAGCGAAAAGCTTAGGCGAGTTTGAGTTGTGCTCGAAGCGCGCGCGAAAACGAGCACGCAGCGACGGGTAAATGGGCGTTTGATAATTTGAGACAGCGAAGGGAGTAGCTTGCGGGCCCGGCTCACAAACTTCAGAGACAGCCTTTCATGTCTTTGCTCAAAAGCAGCCGAGAATGCCTCCAAAATCACAGTGTCGGGTCGCAAGTGCTGCCCAGACGGGGAGTATTGGTCACTTTGTAAACGATTTCCACAGACTTGCCACTTCGGCCATGCATTCCTCCCGCTGGAATTCTTTGGCTGGCCATCCGTGTTTCATGAATATGGCCTTCACTTCATCGATTTGGGCATCGCTGTAAGACTGCTTGCCCACCATTCGAACGTCGCGTGGCTCCTTCGGGAAGATATCAAGCCTGCGAAAATAGTCCTTGAAATTGTCGCACAGCTTTTTGGGGGTGTCATGGGTGTGGCAACGGCCGTCCATGAAGTCAATGGTTGCCAGCTGACCATCTCGTGTGTCAACCATGATATAATGGCCATTCCTCGAGGCAGACCGAGCAAGGGTTGCGATGTGTTGCATCGCATTGAGCCTGTCCCACACATCATCTTCCAAAAGCTCCGAAAGAGGGTCGACGTCCTCCTGGTCATGGTGTTTTGCTGCCTGCGTCTCGAATGGTATCCCGGTGTAATCAGTGCAGATGCATTTCTCGAAGATCYGAAGYCGATCCTCCACATCCTGGCTAATGTACGGAATATGCTTCAAAAGGTCCACCACAGCGTCCGTCTTGCCGAGGAACGCCAGTCGCTCAGCCGTAATGGATGGCCAGCCTCCCTTTGGCGGGCGTTTGATGCAGTCAGCGGGTAGATACAGTGCTGTGAGGAATTCGTAGTATGACAGAAGCTCTGCAGCCAGTTCATCACGCCGCTTGATCGCAGCCACGTCGACGTTGAGAGCACGTGGACTCGCCTCTGACCGTCCATCAAGTCTACGCRCGCGGGCTTCGGCGCGCTCCCTTCTTGCATTGGCTTGCTCAGCAGCTGATTGTCGTGGCATGTTGGCAATGGTTTAGTCGGAGTGTTGTTGGTGGTATTCCTCCAATTCCTTCTTTTGAGGCGGGCAATTTGAGCACCAAGAACCGTCAGCTTCGACCGATCGTTAGTGAGATGTCTTTGAGAAGAAAGTGGACACTGGTCGAGTCTACTACGGCTTCCCGTACGCGTAGGTAGGTTCGAGGAAGCGCCGGCAACCTCATTGGCGACGTTTCCACGGCGGCTATGAAGCCCGCTTGGAGTGATGAAAGGAGGTTCATATCCTGTCATTCCTCTGCGTGTCTGGCGTGACTATAGCCCTTCACCACTGATCGCCTTGATCGTCTGGCCGATGCGATGTGAAATGGTTTGGGATGATGAATTTCAGCTCACGACAAGAAGGAAGATGCGCTGGCTCGCTGATTGGATGAAGATGCTCGGCCGCTAACGGGCGTCAGCTGATTTCCCGAGCTTTCGATCAGGTGATTTGCATCGTGTGCACGTGACCGAGCATCACTCGCCTCCACAGCATTGACTTCAGCAACACTGAAATGTCGATATTCGCGCAAATTATTAATTTTRATCGTACGTAGAAGTACAGCGATACGAAGAAGCATCAAGAAAGCTCAACTATTGACCTCACCTATCCAGTTCTTCCGGCTCGTCTCATCTCTCTCAAGATCACGTTCGTGCCTCGTACGTACAACAAGCCCGACAGCACTTCAGTATCCTGTGGTCCAATACAAAGCAGTCAAAATCACGCCAGAAAACGCCCGAATAAGAAATGTCCCCACTTCTCCCCCACAAGATGATTTCTCGCAGCAGCAATCCGCACGTTGCAGAGGCTTGAGATGGCCGCCCGCTGACCATGCCAGAGACCGGTCGCCAAGACTTCATCCCTCTTTCTTGGTGTGCTTTGAACTCCTTTCTTCAGATGCATTGCCACAGCTGCTACCGGACAGTCCCGAAGCTTGTTCTCTCCGCGTAGGGCCGGCATCATTCTGCCCATGCGCCGGATCTTTTTGGGATGAAGCAGGACATCTACACACAGGTTGGTCGCTTTCTCGAACACGACCACACGCACATGCCGCGACTTGTGGACCGCGGAGGACGAGAGGGTGTGGAAACCTTTCCGATGCGGAAGCGGAGCTCGGCGGCTGGTCTGACCCAAGTCTGTGTGCCGGCGGTCCGGTGTAACTCGGCAGGTGAGCTGGATCTTCGTCAGCCATGACCACCTCACCGAGTCCCTCCTTGAATGACGGCAGATTCCGCTCTGGCTGTGGTCTGGTGAGGTTGAGTGGCGCGATAGGGAACGTTGCCTGGCCGTCGTGGCCACTTGCACCCATGAAGGCTGGACTAGGATCACATTTTAGTTTTGGGGGAGGTAGACGGAGTGCAGCCATCCTGTGAGGGTCCATTCCTGATGTAGACGGAACATCAGGGCTTTTAACACCTGTCAGCCGTGGAGCGAGTGGGAAGGACTCGCTATGCGATGATAGAGTCCGCGCTGGAAGTGAAGGAGTCGGAGGTGCTGGTAGGTCGTGGAGTGGTGGCATGGTGAACGATGCGGATAAGTCGGATGTGCAGAAATGATAAACTCCTCAGGTAGGTTATATACCTGTGAAAGTACAGAGCCCTCTGGCGCGAAATCTGGCGTGGCTCTCTCAAAGTCTCGCGATCGGTACCGTCGGGATTTGAACAGATTCGGTTGGTTGGAAGGGAGGGAAATGGCAAACTCATTCATTCATCTGGTCCGTCCTCAAACCTTAATTTCCTCCCAGTCGAGCGTCCTCAAGAGAGCGTCTCAAAACTCCATTTCGACTTCACACAAGCACTCTCTTCCTCTCATTAAAATTACATGACCGCACAGCTCCAAGACTTGCTCACTACCCGACCAATAACCAAGAACGCAAATTGCCACCAACTCTGCAACTCCCAACAACAACACCAAGCACCAAGCACCAATATCAACATGCCTCCACGCACTCTCCACGAAGAACGCGAGCGCTTCTTCTGGAACGACAACATCTTCCTTGGTCGCGTAAGGAAAGCCACGCCCGAGGACATTACTAAGTACACCCAAATCGTCCAATATCGAGGACCCTCCGGCTGCCCCCGGGTCGAGGCCGATGACGATGCAGCGATGCCAGAGCTCTACCGTACGAAGCCCGTGTGGCACTATGAGACTCTCGTGTCTGTTCCGACGAAGAGGAAATCGGTCTGGAAAAGAATGTGGAGCTGTGTGAAGAAAGTGAATCGCCGACTTGGCGAGGTTAGGAAGGGAGTTTTGTTGTAACATTTGGATTCGTAGTAGCAGAGTAAAGTAGCAGAATATGAATCGGATGTGGATCTAATTTAGGCTACTTTCTAGCTCACTACCGTACGCGACTTGTGGTTCAGACTTGCGTGTAGCTTCAGAACGTCACCTCATCTGGGGCAGTATCCGTTCAGCCGCTGAGCGACAATCTCGCAAAGTCTAATCAGGGGCTGGGAATGTCTGCCGCTTTGCGAGTGGTCTTACTAGCTAATGCATATGTACGTCCCTTTTACAAAGTCTAATCCGTCTGAGACCAACTCTCGAACAGAATATGTAAGATATCGCAAGTGATATTCGAGGGAGATCATGTGCTTAGGGTTAGGGTTGAGGTAGTGGCACTCCATTTCCAGACGGCTTCAAACAGATCGAGGGAGCAGAAGCCGTGTCTATAGATAATGTGTTTAAGTACGCGACAGCTTGGGGTTGGTAATGTGTGTAGTGCGTTCCAAATTGTATGCCTTTTCCCTGCAAGTAGGCCTTGTTGAGAGTGACCAACAGAACCTGGAACAGACTCAAACGTAATGAAATAGGGATCTCCGGACGTCAGACACTACACGAGCAGAATGCCAGTCCGGCGAAATGAAGGAGCATAGCATGCACTCGCGTCACTGCCTACCACGGTATAGCACAGCGAGCAATACATCGTACTGCTCGGTTAGATCCACAAGGCACCTACAACTACCATTCAGGGACTGTCCTCCCCTAGGTACTTGAGATGCCGACTTGATTGTCAACCGCCCTGCCAACGCTGGCCCTCCCAGAACATCGTGTCGGACCGAGAATAGTGGTCGATTCAAGGCACCGTGCTTCATAAGATGCTTACGTCTCGAAGTCCTCGATCAACTTCTCGAGCCTTCTCTTCTCCTCATCACCGCCGAAGATCATACCCACCCCCCGCCTCGCAACCGACACAAGATCCTTGCAGTCAAGCTTGAAGTGCTTCGCAGCCWGATCATACTCGTTGCTGACCGCACTCCCAAAGACACCCACATCATCTGTACAGAGAGCAATCGAAACGTCTTTCCTTTTGAGCCACGTCCCGAGATGATGATGGTGATAGTCAGAGTCTTCGCCTTGCGGCAGCATCTTCGCCAGCACATTACAAGACAGACATAGTTCTAGTCCGAGTTTCCTTTGTGCACACCGTTCATGCACAACCTGCTCAATTCTAGGAGGCAGGTGGATGACATGTCCGATCCGGTCTGGCTGCAGACTGAGCAGATATTCCAGCTCTTCTATACTACTGGAAGCGGGAATTTCAGCGAAATGCAGAGTGACTTTCAGTCCCGCTGCGCTTGCTCTCCCAAATGCAGGACCTAGGGCTTCTCGATTGAGAGGTACGAGGGGATTGCCGCAAAGATCTACGCCTACGACACCTCGAGAACGATATGTGAGCGCAAGGTCGATGACCTGTTCTGCTTGCTGAGCAGTATGCCGGCGGTCGATGGAAAGAATCAGGTAGACGCTCATCCGGTCTGGGGCTTCCCGGCGGAAAGCATCGATGGCCTCAAGCACTGTCTCAACATAACTCTCCTTGGTCAGACCTGTGGAAAGTGCTTCCCGCGGTGTTGTGCGGAGTTCCAGATAGCGAACGCCATCATATGCGAAGTCTTGGAGTACGTGCTTCGTGGCGTAGAACACAGCCTCACGTGTGTTGCAGAGAGCGTAGATGTATGTGTCGAAAAGCTTGAAGAACGTCAGAATGTTGTGATGCTTTTGACCTGACGGAGGGGCTAGGGCRACAAGAGGATCCACCAAATCACTAGAAGTGCTACTCTGTTGTTGTTGCTGCCAGATCTCGTGTAGCGTTTGAGGAGATATGCTGCCTGTGAGATGAGAGTGGAGGTCTATCTTTGGGAGGGCTTGCGTGAAGGCGGAAGTCACCGCACGGGAGGACATGTCTCATCAAGAAATCTAGGAAAACGTGCCTTTCCGAAGAGATGAGGTGAAGGCCCAAATTGCGGAGTCAATGCACAATGGTTCGTCTCACCTTCCCTTCCGCTCGCATCTGACAGGACACCGCCACGGCGGACCCCGCTCCGCGCCCCGGCATCTCGATCGATCCACACTTTCTTCAAGCTTCACACCCACACAGCGGGGACGGAGATCGGCTTCAAAGTCATTCATTCACTCCACGCATCACCCGGTCTCTGAGCTCCGTAATTGGCGGCTACTGTCCTGTGACTGACTCGCGAATCCTCCGACAGCTGCCATATCACTTCTTCACATATGCATTGACATACYCTTCCATCTCCGTCACCGTCTCCAGCCATCGTTGTCGCCGACACTGGCCGACTTCACTTGTCTCAGCACCGCATTGTTTCATTGCTTGCCCAAACATTGCGCGCAAAGCTCTCTGCCGCCTTCTTCAACCTGCAGCTGCTTCTCTCGCAGCATCCGACACCATGGCCGACGCCGACGTGATCCGTATGTATAGCAATGCATGCATGGCAAGAATCCCCT